GGGGGTCGTAGTATACGAATGAGATTGAATATAATTTTCGATATTCGAGAGTGTAGGCAGATTTATTTTTGTGTGAATTCTGGAATTCAGCATTAGAGAAATATGAAAAAATTAGATGTTTGCTCTATTACCACCAGGGATACTGCGCCACCAATGTTGGCATTGCTTCTGTGGACACGTTTCCTCAGCTGGACAGATATTGCGCACTTATCATTATTTTACTGAGATTTATGTTGTCGCCTATAGCAGTACAACAATGATCACATTGCACAAACACATTATATAAAACAAACATGGTCTGAACATATCACTCAGTGAAAGCGTTGTTCATATGACATGGCTGCCGAAATGTATGGGTTTGGGTTCTTCGAAAGATGGGTGGTTCATTGTAACCAAATGTCAGTGAACTTAATACGAGGTACGAGCCTGGTGGAATTCCACAGAATTGTGTGTCCACTCGGAAAGTAAACAGAGCTCATTTTTCAAGCTTCCTAGTCCACTAATTGGAATCTAGCAATGGTATTATTCTCGCTATCTTTTGTCCCTCTTCTTCAGTCCATCTGCCCGTAGTTCATTGGCGCAATTGTTCGGTCTGCAACTTTAAGTGTTTCCAGTGTTGTTGCAACAATTCCATCTGTTCCCTGAATGTGGGACATTTACCTTTCCGACTGGCATGACATACTACTCGTTATTTCCATTAGTTATCAAAGTGTTCTGCCTTGGAAAAGTCGTATGACATAGACACATGTGTGCTTAGTTGTGTTGTAAACCAAAACGAAACCAGTTTCTTGTTTCAGACCGTATGGAGTTCTTTTTTTTCTCTCCTGCCTGGTGGCCTCTGGGGCAAGAAGTACAGAATCAAAATTAAATTCTCTGTAATACGTAACACTGGTAGATGCTTAGGATTTTTTTCTTTGTACTTTACCACATCAGCACGATGGCGTTCTGTTTTCACCAGGAACAGCGTAGGATAATAGTAATAATAGCAGTACTGATACGGAACAAAAAGATCAGACCGCAGCAGCGGATCAGCTGCCAGTTTCTCGTACGGAGGAAATACTCTGTGGTGGGTTCCCCTTAAGTGCTATTGATTTATTGTTGGTGGCCTTTCAAGGCTAAAGAGGGAGTCGATGTCCAAAGAGAAGGACATACTCCTATCACGGACGTTGTGATCACTGTACTATTTTCAGCCTTCGGTAAACCTCTTACTACAGAATCTGAATACCATGTAGCATTTATGTTTAAAGTGGACTTTATAAATGTTAATGTCTCAACGCTCTGTTGTAAATTGTATGAGTTCAGACAACTTTTGCATGAAATTACGTTGGCAGTACGATTGGATTGATCAGTAACATATGTACCCTAATCTTTATTGTTTGAGAAATTCGATAAGATATTGTGAATGGTCTAATCACAGCCGTTTTGGGTTTTTTTTTTCATTGTTGCAGGAAATGGAGGGCAGCAGGAGTCAAGTTCCTCTCATCTGGATCTCAGGTCAGCTCAAATTACTATTTATTCAGCTTTTTGTTTATCTGACTTGTGTCTTTTCTTTGCTTAGACACTACACCTAATCCCAGATACGGCATAAAACATGTGTAGTTTCACTCCGAAGAAAGAACATAATTTTAAGAAATACTCGAATATTACTTTTTTTGGTCTTTTTTGGGTGTGGAGGGGTACGAATTTCTTCATATGAACCGTCAAACTATATGGATATCTGGAGCCGGCTGAGATACGTTAATAGTCCACTTTCACATCAACTATTTCTTATATATTATACACCCCTGCGCTTCTGGCGAAGGGGTTACATATCCTGTCTGACATAGCATAGGACCGTGAAAACCCTCGCTGAGAGGTCTTTAGAATGGCTTTTTGAAAAATCCAATGGCGTTCTAATTTGTATGAAACCATTGTAAAGCAGGTAAATAGTTTAAGCAAAGGGCAGTTTCACCCCCCCCCCCTTTCCCCCCTTTTCTCCCACCCTAAAAGAGATTTCTTGGAAACGCTCTTAATTCTTTAAGTGTATAATATTATTAAGTGGGACGGTTTCAATGTTGAATTGTTTTCATCACGATTCCTTCATGTCTTTTGTTGGTGACTTGAAACATTGTTTCTCTCTTATTTCATTTTTCAACAAGAACATTCTCTATTTAAGATCTGAATCAACTGTAGACCTTTAGTTGGATTGTTCATTCAGTGTTTAAATTTTCACCCATTTTCTTTGCGGTTTCCTAGCATCTTCAATGAAGTTAATGAGAACTTTTACTGAACTTGTTTTTTTCCTTCTGCAGTGGATCTATGTGTCTATTACTTATTCATAGTTGGAAAATACACCCTTTTTAGCCCTGCTGCCACGCTGCAACCACATTGTTAACGGTGTCATAAAAACTAAGTTGATATGACGAACTCGGTGGCATTTAATGCGGGACGCGTGAACGATTTCCGTCTTTATATTCTTAGCATGACGCTCCCAGTCTAAATACACACATATGATATCAATTTTTAATCTACCATTTTGTCCAAAGTCACACGTCTATACTCTGACTAGTATTCTTTCAAAGCTGCTTTGCCTGTCCCTTCGAGATCCAGAAAGTCATCCCAAATGAGCCGTGTAGTTTTTTTAAAGGAAAAATGCAATTTAGTTCTCAGAGGTGCAAGACTTAATTGCCTTTCCAATGTCGTCTATTGCCTCTTACTTTAAAAATGCTCTCTGTCGCAACACTCTTTCCGGGCTACATTTAAGAGAGAAATTTGTTCACTTTTAGCGCCCTCACTTCCCTCTAGCTTTCTGTTCGCTCGTGGAACGTCTGTTTAAAGAAGTCAATCTTCTTCCCTCCCCCGTTCCTTTCACGACAACATCAAAAACGCTCTTCATCGACCGAGTTACCTCTTCGATTTTTTCGTCCGTTCGGGTGAATGAAATTAAATGAATCCAATTACTGTATGCTTTTCATGCTACGAGTGTTTTCGGAAGTTTGTTTTTTCTTGTCCGGTCTCTTAGCTTTTCTCTTTTCTTTTCTTTTCTTTTCTTTTCTAAATATAACCCTTTCTCTCTGCCTCTTCCCGTCTTTCTTTTCTTTTTCCTTTCAAGGTAAAGGAAGTGCAAAATGTTGCATTCAGCCTGAAGTTGACATGGAATGATTGATAGTATGGAGCCACGTTATTATCTAGTTGATCTGAGTATTGTATGTTTGTCTGTGTTTGTTTGTGGGTGCGCATGTGGGTGTGTGAGAGAGAGAGGGGGGGAGAGAGAGAGAGAGAGAGAGAGA